AAAAAAAAAAAGGTTGATTCCCGACAATTCAAAATACGTCCACAAAAAAGCTTTACCTAAGAAACAGCTAAGCCTAAGGAGGACAAGCGATACAGGGATAGGAAGTCAGAGAAAAGGGAGGCAGGGAGAAAGGAGGGGAAGGAGGATTGATTCAAGGGTTAAGGCTCATGCCCTGCACACAGTCAACCACTGCAACACACAGAAGATCCCCCAGATTCACAGTTGGTCCTCAGAGATCCCAACCCTCTCCAGCATAATCAGAGGTGCCCCAGGTCTCCTAACCATCACATGAATCCCACCCAAATTCCTTTCCCTCCCCCCCCCCCACCACCCAGCAAAACAGCTAAGGATCAGGGATGTAGGTCGGTGTTAGAGAATTTCCCTTGCATGTATGAGGCCCTGGGTTAGACCTCTAGCATCATTTAAAAGAGAAGGAGGTGGAAGAGGAGGAGGAGGAGGAGAAACCAAGCATGGAAATTTTCTGAAAATCACATGGCAGTTGAAATGGACATTAATATACACATGCACATCTACATATGGAAAATCTAATACTGACTGGTATTATTTCAATTAGTGATAAATATTTTTCTCTTAATATCTTGAGAGAAATTTCTAAACTATAAATAAATGATTTGAATTAATATGGGATTTACTTTAAAATAACATAGAACAATAGACATAGCTCAAAGGGTTGAATACATGTTTCTCGGGCAGAAAATCCATGCTAAATCCCTGGTAGCACCACATAATCCCCAGACCACCACCAGGGTACAATACAGAACTAGTAGTTCCAGAACATCATCAGGTGCGGCCCAAAACCAAAATAACAAAATGAATAAGAAGTCAGAGACAAGGATAACTATAGCTTACAACTGAAGCAAGATGATAGACAAATGGTGAATCATTAATTCTCCCTACTCTTGTAAATTTTACTTTTTTCTTAACAAAATGTTGGGGTCAGGGTCTCAAGATTGTACAGGAAGCAGAGCACAAGCCCTGCACATGGCAGACCCAAGTTTGATCCCCTTCTCCCTACAGTCCCTGGAGCAGTGACAGGAGTTCCTGAGTAAAGAGCCAGAAGTCCTATGCTGAGTGTGGCCCAAAAACAACAGAAAAGGCTTTTTGAGATAAATTTAAAATTATCTTCCATGGGGCTGGAGCAATAGTATAGCAGGTAGGGCGTGTTTGCCTTGCATGCAGCCAACCTGGGTTCGATTCCCAGCATCCCATATGGTCCCCAGAGCACCGCCAGGAGTAATTCCTGAGTGCATGAGCCAGGAGTAGCCCCTGTGCATCGCCAAGTGTGACCCCCCCCAAAAAAAAGAAATTATTTTCCATGAGTTGCTTATCTTCCATATACCTATAGTTTTATTTTATTTTTGTTTTCAACTACAAATTTCAGGCTATCGGAAATAAAACTGAACCAACGAAAGAGTATGGAAAAGTTAGATGGCAGCTTAATAACATTGGCCCACTGACATCAGTTTAAAGGATCTCCAAGTCATGTTTCCACATTCAGTAGTTTCTGAATCTTTATAAAATAAAATAGTCAAAATTATATCACTGGGTACCCGACAGGAAGCACTGTTACTTAGTACGAAAACATTTTACAAAGAAATTGGAAAGATTCATTGAACTCCTGGCAATGTGACAGAATATTATTTCAATATATGGACCTATGTTCTGAAGACAGGCTGAGTTCATTTTCTCAATTACATGAATACCTAATTCAGACCAGGCAATGGGACAGATAAACGTAACAATCATATAGTAAGCCACCACAATGTATTTTGTTAAGTGCTAAGAGAGGCATATTTGAATATATGGGCCAGTGGTGCTTTTGCTTTTTTACCCAGTCATCAGCATGAAGAGCAAGAACCCTACCCATTATGTTATCTCTCTCAGTTCCCAACAGGCCAATGTTCTTTTATTTATTTATTTTTTTTTTTTGCTTTTAGGGTCACACCCGGCAATGCTCAGGGGGTTACTACTGGCTCATGCACTCGGGAATTACTCCTGGCGGTGCTCAGGGGACCATATGGGATGCTGGAAATCGAACCCAGGTCGGCCATGTTGGCTGCGTACAAAGCAAACGCCCTACCTGCTGTGCTACTGCTCCAGCCCCCCAATGTTCTTTTTTTGGGTTTGTTTTGGGGGCATACCTGATTATGCTCAGGGGTTACTCCTGGCTCTGTGCTTAGGAATCACTCCTGGCAGTGCTCAGGAGACCAAATGGATGCTGAGGGTTGAACCTGGGTTGGCCATGCACAAGGCAAAAATCCTATCCGCTATACTGTCTCTGCAGGCCCCCAGGCCAGTGTCCCTAAGGCAAGCTGAGTTCATTCTCTCATTCAAGCATTTAATTCAGACCAGACACTGGAACAAATACACAAATGAACATAACAACCACATATTAATTTACCCCTATATATTTTGTTAAGTATTATGAGAGGCATATTTAAAGTTTACAGATACACAAAATTGTTAAAAGATTAGCTATCTTTCAGCTTCAAGATTCTATTAGTCTGAATTCCTTTAAGACTTCTGAATTAGGAAGAACTGTGCTAGGGCCAGAGAGATAGTATAGTGGGTAGACATTTGCCTTGCAGTTGGTGGACCCAAGTTGCATCCCCAAGCATCCTATGATCCCCTGAGCACCACTCACCAGGAGTTATCCCTGTCCACCTTCAGGTATGGCCCAGCCCACTCCACTCCTGGCTCCCAGAAAGCTGCCAGGGGAGGGAAAAAAAAAACTGTAGCCAAATTAACAGGCTATTTTAATTAAACATTTAGTACTTGCTAAGGGACTGGAGCTTTCTATATACTATCTCACAAAATCTTCCTAACAATTCCAAAAACTACGATTACCTCTTTATAGTAACAAAAGAGGTTCTGAAAAAAAAGTACCAAATTTCTGTCTCTCTCACACACACACACACACACACGCGCGCGCACACACACACAAAGAGGCTAGCTAGCAGACCTGTTTCCAAAGCTTAATCTTTTTCCCCTAAACGACTTTTCATTTTCTTTCACTACATAAAAACAAACCAGAAGCCACTTTTTAAGAGCACTAAAGAGAGAAACTTTCAGACAGACATGAAGTACCAAGCAGTCGCTGATGGCCGCACTCAGCCTTCTTTATTGCCCAGCATCCTATGATCCCCTGAGCACCACTCACCAGGAGTTATGTGATGTATATACAACACCCTCTCCAGACATACAGATTAACAAGACACAAAGAAGTCGTAACACTCAAGTGGTAACAATAGCTGTGTTTGGGACAGGAATAAATCCCAGTCTGAGAACAAACGAGCTTGTTTTTCCCCCACTTCCATTTTCATCCTTACTTGGTACCAACACGAACCATGGGGCAGCCGGGCCTATTTCAGCAGAAACACAACTGGACTCCGCTTTATTCACAAGTACACATTACGAGAGTGCGTGAATACAGTATAAAGCCCACAAAGTGTGAAAGTTTCCAAGAGAATAGCAGCACAGGTCGACTCAGTCCAGGATGCCTAGAGGAAGGAGTCTATCAGCAAAAAAACTGCAGAGGAATGTAAACTACTGAGACGGAAAGCGAGCCTTTATTTTTCTGCGCGAACGCCAATCAACGGGAAGAGAGAGAGAGAGAGAAAAAAGATTATATGTCCTTTTCTGATTCCTCCAAGTTCACAGCACACCCTTGGGGGGGGTGGGGGGAGAACAAGTTAACCCTTGGACGACACGTGAGGAGGAAAAAAAACGAATTTTGAGGCGTGCACAATTCCAACCGCAGGTTGAGGAAAAGAACTGGAATCCGCAACACCCGCCCCGCTGTCCCCCACCAACCCGGCCGGCTGTGGAAACGAGCTGCTTTTCCTCAGAACTCCCGCGGGGCGCCGAAGTCAACAGCTAATTCCACGACCGGGCGCCCCCCCCCCCCCGCCACACACACACACACACACACACACGCACAAGAACACACGAACACACACACACACAGATACACACGAACACACACACACACAACCCTCCCGCCTGGCAGCGAGAAAAGTTAGCGGCGGGTGATGGTAATGGTCGGGGTCGCGTCCAGCCCTCGCCGAGACGACCCCACCACCACCACCACCACCACCACCACAACTCGGTCCCCAACGCCCCCGCCCTCAGCTCCCCGACACCGTAACCCGGCCCGGCCGAGACCCCCGGGCGAGGCGCGCCGCACGCCAAGTCCCACTTCCCAGCCCGGCAGCGCTCGGCCGTCCGTTCCCCCTCCCGCCGCCACCGCCAACGCCAACGACGACGACGGCGGCGGCGACGACGACGACGACGACGACGACGACGGAGACGGCGCGGAGGGAGCCGCCGAGACCCGGCGTCCTCAGAGGCCGCGTCCCGGGCGCCGCGGGCCGGCGGGAGGGAGACTGAGGGAGCGGGGGGCGGCTCCGAGGGCCGGCGGCTAAACCCCCGCACCTCCCCCACAGCAACACACACACACACACACACACACACACACACACCCCACACACACATGCGCCCCCTCCTCCCCTCCCCCTCCCCCCGGCCGGCCGCGCCGCTCGCACACCGCCGCCTGCGGGCCGTCCCCGGGGCAGCCGCCACGGCGCCGCCTCAGCCCGTCAGGCCTGCGGCGGCGCCGAGAGAGGGGAAGGGGCCGACCCGGCCGTGCACACTCGCCGCCTCGGCCGCCAGCTCGGGCCCCCCTCGGCGGCCCACCCGGGGCTCCTCCGGGAGCACCAGCGCCCGCCGCCAGGCGCGCCGAGGGCGGCGGGGACGCGGCCAGCCGCGGGGCCGCCGAGCTCCTCGGTGCCCCCGGCTCGCCACCTCAGGGGGTCCCCCGACCTCCTCCCGCCCCCGCCGTCTGCCTGCCGCCATTTTGTGCGCAGCCGCTGCGACACATACAATAGTCGCCGGGGTTCGCACGGGCCAGGCGGAGGGCGCCCGCGTTACGGGCTCCCCCGCCGCCCGGTCCCCCGGCCCCCACGAGGCCGCCGTCCTACCTATGCCTACAGGACTAACGGCCGGCTCCCACTTGCGCCCCACAGTTTAGCACTCAACCTCCAGGGTCGACGCCGGGGAAGATACCGCCTCCCAGCCGCTGCACGCATGCGCGCCCGGCCCGCCGCGGCGAGCCCTCGTCGGCCCTCGGCGCCTGCGTACCGCGGCGCGGGGAAAGGGGCGGCTCCGGGAGGGGGCGCTCTCGCTCTCGGGCGCGGCGTTCCGGGCAGAGCGAGCGCAGGCACCCTCCCCATCCCCTCTTTTTTCTTTTTCGGTTTTTTTTTTTTTCTGCCTTTCTTAATTTGAGGCATTCTTGGAAACATGTTTGCCTCCACTCTAGGAAGTCCGCCCTGACTGTGGTCGCCTCTAGTAAAATAAACAGGTGACACCTAGTTCTGGATGCCAATGTTTTGCATGGTTAAGATTTTGCTTTTTTAACCTTTCTTGATTCATTCCTCTTTATAGCGGTGTGGCCCAACGACAATGGACAATGACAGCCACTCAGAATGTTAGAAAATGTCCAGGAAAGCATATTGGACTAAACAGATGAGTTTAAACTAATATAGTATTTCACATACACGTGCCTGTGTAGTTGCAATTTTTTTTTTCTTTTCAGGTTACATCTGGTGATGCCCAGGGGTTACTCCTGGCTCTTACACTCAGTAATTACTCCTGGCGGTGCTCAGGGGACCATATGGGATGCTGGGAATCGAGCTCCGTCCTCTGCGTGCAAGGCGAACGCCCTACCTTCTGTGCTATCTCTCTAGCCCCTATAGTTGTAATTTTTGTTTTCGTTTAGATTGGGGCCACACGCAGTGCTGTGGGAGGGGGCTATTTCAAAGGGTGTTTGGGTTCCCTGCTGGGGTTCCCTGCTGAGGGGCTGGGTGAACCGTGTAGTACTTGGGCTACAGGCCATGGGCTCAGACATTTGCTTCAGTCCCAAGATAGGAAATTGTTGTTCTGTTTTGGTATGGGGCCGTGGTGATCAGGGCTTATTCCTGGCTCTGTGCTCATGTTCACTCCTGGCAGGGCTCTGAGGACCGACCATTTGGAAAGCGGAGGATCAAACCTGGGTAGACGGCATGCAAAGCAAAGGCCCTACTCATTTTACTATTGCTCTGGCTGCCTCATGAGTTTTATTTTTTAACTCTTGCACTAATGATGACGAACCTTCAGTTGACATTAGTTCAGTAAATTCTCAAATAAACCCAATCATTGGGACACGAGAGATAGTATCATCACTCCTGACGCCTTATGGCTGTATTAGCAATTTTGAGTAATTTCTTCCCAGTCCCAGAAACATACATACCAAGGAATTCTGCAAAGGTTATTTTCAGCTATCTTTTCTTTTCTTTGTTTATTTTGGGGCAACACTGGCAGTGCTCAGGGGTTACTTACACGCCTTGCTCTGCACATAGGGATGGTTCCTGGCATTCCCCAGAAAGACTATATGGGATACCCAGAATCAAATCGGGGTCCACTTCCAGCAAGACAGCTGGCCAACCTCTGTAGATGCCTTATCTGCTGTACTTTGGCTCCAACTCCCTGTAGCTTTCTAAATTTTGCTTACAATTTAACAACACTTTACATTTAAGTATTTAACACAGAATTTATTGTCTTCATTGAACAGAGACCTAACTTGTTTTCTTCTCAATGTGCCAGAGCTTCAAGATATTAAGTAACCATTCTTTTCCCTACTTCACTGAAATGCCTCTTCACTCAAGAACTTTAACATCAACAGCTTTAATAAGATCCTATATACATGTAAATGAGTTATGAAGTTTTTAATCTATATTAACTAATTTACCCACACAGCCGACCGGGTTCAATTCCTCTGCCCATCTCAGAGACCCCTGCAAGGTACAGGGAGTATTCTGCCCCCAAGGCAGAGCCTGGCAAGCTACCTGTGATGTATTAGATATGCCCAAAAGAGTAACAAGTCTCACAATGGACACGTTACTGGTGCCTGCTTGAGCAAATCGATGAACAACGGGAGGACAGTGCAGTGCCGTGCAGACCCACTGGGTAATGAACATTTGTTCATTCATTAGCTTGACCCAATTAATATTACTTGAAAATTTCCTCTGTGCCTGGAACTCTTTTAGGTATCAGAGGCAGCAGGAAGCCAGAGGACACTTCCTCCTTTATGTATAGTCTGGGGGAGGGGGTGGGGGAGAGGAAAATTAGAGAAAGAAGAAGTAAAGATGTCCTTGTGCAAGTAAACATGGTGATATGTTCTCTGGAGAAAAACAAAGCAAGAAAAAGACACAGAACGAGAACATTACAGAGAACATGGTTTAAATAAGATGGTCAGAAAGGCATTACTAAATAGTCAGCCTTGGAGCAGAAACCTAACTGAAACGTGTGAAGAAGCAGTAGAGATAGCTGAAAGATTTTCCTATCAGAATGAACACTAAAAACAGAAAAATTCTAGATTGAGGACCTGAGAGATAAAACAGAGGGTAGGGCATTGGCCTTGCACAAGGCTGACTCAGACAAGACCAATCCCCAGCATCCCACATGGTTCCCTGCCATCACCAAGAGTGATTTCTTGAGTGCAGAGCCTGGAGTAACCTCTGAGCATTGCTGGGTGTGGCCCAAACACACACACACACACACACACACACTCACAACAACTCTAGAGTTAGATAGATCAGAGACAGAGCACTAACATGTGTAAGGTTATGAATTTAATCTCTAGTTTCACAAAATTAACAGGTAAAAGTAACCTTAAGAAGCATACTTAAGAAACAAAGCAAGCCAAAGAGGTTGCAGAAGCATGAGTAATAAAGGACACGGGAGGTGATGTGAAAGGAAACTAGGAATGCTTGGGAACATTAGTGAGTTAGGGCTGCCTAGTAAATACCAAGTCGGAATGACTTAAGTAGCAAAGAATTATTTTTGCTCAGTTCAGAAGGCTGAACATTCAAGTGTGGACAGGTTTAGCTTCTCCAGTGACCACTCTCCTTGGCTAACAGGTGGCCATCACCTCTGTGCCTCTCACCTTGCATTTTCTCTATGTACACACATTCTGGTATTTCCCCCTCTTCTTTTTAGAATATCAATCATTAGTTTAAGGATCAATTGTGGCACCTCATTTAATGTCAACCAACTCATTAAAGTCTCCACTTATTACTATAGTCACTAGGGTATAGATCTCTATCATAAGAATTTCGGAGGACCTAAGTCAGTGCCTTGCATGAGGCCAATCCGGCCGACCCGGGTTCGATTCCTCCACCCCTCTTGGAGAGTCCGACAAGCTACCGAGAGTATCTCGCCAGTACGGCAAAGCCTGGCAAGCTCCCTGTGACGTATTTGGTATGCCAAAAATAGTAACAAGTCTCACAATGGAGCCTTTACTGGTACCCGCTGGAGCAAATGGATGAACAAGGGAGGACAGTGCTACAGGACAGTGCTACAGTGCTATCTTGTTTTGCTTTGTTTTTTAGTTTTTAGAGGCCACACCCAGCAGGACTCAGGGCTTACTCCTGGCTCTGTACTCAGAGATCACTCCTGGCCGTGCATGAGGGACTGCAGGGATAAACCTAGGTTGGCTGCATACAAGGCAAGCACCGTAAACAATGTAATATTGCTCCAGAACTTTGATTTTTACTGTAAATGTTATGAGAAGGTTCTGAGCAAAGAGATGACATCATTTGACTGATTTACCTCTGTGCCATTCTATAAAATATTGGCAGATGTAACAGTCACAAAATTCAAGTACACACTTTCATAAAATTTATATTTCAGTGATAAAAAACAACACAAATGTGATAAAATAAAATGAGAAAAAGCAAATAAGAGAAAAATGTTGAGACAATCTACATGATGTCACATTTAAGTAGAATAGGGAAAATCCTCCCTTGTGATATGATGTATGAACATAGGTACAATGAAGGAAGAAAGTCACACAGCTATCAGAAGAGCTTTGCACACTCCATATACAAAGGCTCTGGAATAGGAACACTTTGGTTATATATGATGATTAAAGAAGGCCAGCTCAGTTGAGGGTATAATGTAGAGAAAGGACAAGACGAGGATGAAAAATTGGCAAGGTCTAGATCATGCGAAGTCTTACAAGCTACTTAAGGCAATACAGAAAACAATGAACTCAGTATCACAGAATTATCTTTCTTTTGGCAACTGGGGGATTAGGCCATATCCAATCATGTTCAGGGATTCCTCCTGGATCGTGCTCAGGGATCACGCCTGATGGAACTCAAAGGGTGTAGGGGAAAAACCATGTGCAGTGCTGGGAATCCAGCCAGGCCTGGCTGTGGGCAAGGAAAGCACCATACCCAGGTACTTTCACCCAAGAATTCTCTCCCAACACCCTATGCTAAACTCCTTATAAAGGGAAATGGGAGAGTAGTGGGGGTTTTATTTATTTATTTATTTTTGTGGTGGGAAGATTTGAAGCCACACCCAATGGGTATTCAGGATTTACTTTTAACTCTGAGCTCATGGAACCAATGTGAGAACAGATGGAGATGGTGGTGGTAAAAGGAGTGAATTCAATATATATATATATATATATATATATACATATATATGTATATATATTATTGTGTTAGGTGTTAGGCAATAACTCAGCAACACTCAAAAACACTGTCCTCCCATTGATCATTGATTTGCTTGAGCAGGCCCAGTAACGTCTCCATTTTGAGACTTGTTGTTATTGTGTTTGGCGTATTGAATATGCCACAGGGAGCTTGCTAGGCTTTGCCGTGTGGGCAAGATACTCTCGGTACCTTGCTGGGCTCTCCAAGAGGGCCAGAGGAATCGAACCTGGGCTGACCGGGTCGGCCTCATGCAGGCAAACGTCCTACCCGCTGTAAAATTATATATTATAAATAAGTGATAAATCAATAAAAAAGAAGAAAAACCTAAAAAAATTAATTATTGGGATATATACAGAACCATAATGAAAGTTTGAGAACTTGTACAATTCTGCAAAAGGACATATATATCAAGAAAACTTGATTATTACTAGCATTTGAATTTTGCAGCATTTATGCCAGGTATTCTCAAGAAAATTCAAAAACAAACTTAAGAGAATAAGTAGTTATTTTTCTGACTTTTTACCAAGCTATTTATCAAAATTATTTTTTATGATAAACTCACTTT